GAAATCAATTGAAATCACTTGGGATTTGATTCAGAGTAAACAGTGCTCATATTCCCCCATATGAGCAATTAAAGTGCTTATACTAGGAAAACATCATGGTGTATATATGTATATTTCTCTATATATATACATATATATACATAAATAAATATATATATATATATACATATATATATAAATATATATATAAATATTTACATACATATATATATATATACATGTAAATATAAATATAAATAAAAATAAATAAATAAATATATATATATATTTGTTACTTTCAGTTTACCCCCCTTGCGAAGTTGATTCTGGTGAACCCTCTGGTGTCATCAACCATGGCTGGAAAATCCCCCCCGAAACATTCGATGATGTTCCCAGCGAACTACACCTCCATGGATAGGCCACGGGGCTTTCCCAGCCAGCCACGTTTGATGACACCAGAGGGCAATCTACGGTATATCCATTTAAATCCCATCATTGTTCCATATCATCCCAGTATCATCCCATTATCATCCCATTATCATCCCAGTATCATCCCATTATCATCCCATTATCATCCCATTATCATCCCTATCAAACCATGCACAACTATAGAAACACCATATCTATGAAACCATATCTATAAAACCATCTAAAACTCTACAAAACGAATGGCCACTTCAGGTACGTAAATCGGAGTACCTACCATATATAAGGCCTATGTAAGGGCTATGTAAAGGGATATACACCCAAAATATGGCCAAACATATGGTACACCAGATGGTTTGGAACATTTTTTATTTTCCCCAATAGTTGGGAATAATAATCCCAACTGACTAATATTTTTCAGAGGGGTTGAAACCACCAACCAGCCATTGATAAAACCAGATCTTTAATGGATTAGCCCATGAAATTTCATCACCGGAGGCGAACAACATGGGGCTGTCACAGCTCCGCCCTGCCAGCCTCTCCAAGGCGTTTTTTTCCGCGTTTTTGGGTGACCTCTACCGGGGAAAGCCATGGAGAAATCCGATCCGAAAACATGAGAAAAATGCAAAAAAAATCAAGAGGGAAACTTTAGATTTCTATGTAGCGTAGCAGGACGTATGCATGGAAGTCCAAGAGAACGTCCAGTAGCGTAGCATGACGTATGCGTGGAAGTCCAAGAGAACTTCCATAGCATGACGTACGCGTGGAGGTCCAAGACAACGTCCAGTAGTGTAGCATGGCGTATTCGTGGAAGTCCAAGAGAACTTCCAGTAGTGCAGCATGACGTACGCGTGGAAGTCCAAGACAACGTCCAGTAGTGTAGCATGACATATGCGTGGAAGTCCAAGAGAACGTCCAGTAGTGTAGCATGACGTATGCGTGGAAGTCCAAGACGACTTCCAGTAGCGTATAGCATGACGTATGCGTGGAAGTCCAAGAGAACGTCCAGTAGCACGGCATGACGTATGCGTGGAAGTCCAAGACAACGTCCAGTAGCGTAGCATGACGTATGCGTGGAAGTCCAAGACAACGTCCAAAAGCGTAGCATGACGTATGCGTGGAAGTCCAAGACAACGTCCAGTAGTGTAGCATGACGTATGCGTGGAAGTCCAAGAGAACTTCCAGTAGTGTAGCATGACGTACGCGTGGAAGTCCAAGACAACGTCCAGTAGTGTAGCATGACGTATGCGTGGAAGTCCAAGAGAACGTCCAGTAGCGTAGCATGATGTATGCATGGAAGTCCAAGAGAACGTCCAGTAGCGTAGCATGACGTATGCGTGGAAGTCCAAGACAACGTCGAGTAGCGTAGCATGACGTATGCGTGGAAGTCCAAGAGAACGTCCAGTAGCGTTGCATGTATATGCGTGGAAGTCCAAGACAACGTCGAGTAGCGTAGCATGACGTATGCGTGGAAGTCCAAGAGAACGTCCAGTAGCGTTGCATGTATATGCGTGGAAGTCCAAGACAACGTCGAGTAGCGTAGCATGACGTATGCGTGGAAGCCCAAGAGAACGTCCAGTAGCGTTGCATGTATATGCGTGGAAGTCCAAGAGAACGTCCAGTAGGGTAGCATGACGTACGCGTGGAAGTCTAAGACAACGTCCAGTAGTGTAGCATGATGTATGCGTGGAGGTCCAAGACAACGTCCAGTAGCGTAGCATGACGTATATGCGTGGAAGTCCAAGAGAACTAGCAGTAGCGTAGCATGACGTATGCGTGGAAGTCCAAGACAACGTCCAGTAGTGTAGCATGACGTATGCGTGGAAGTCCAAGACAACGTCCAGTAGTGTAGCACGACGTATGCGTGGAAGTCCAAGACAATGTCCGGTAGCGTAGCATGACGTATGCGTGGAAGTCCAAGAGAACGTCCAGTAGCGTAGCATGACGTATGCGTGGAAGTCCAAGAGAACGTCGAGTAGCGTAGCATGACGTATGCGTGGAAGTCCAAGAGAACGTCCAGTAGCACGGCATGACGTATGCGTGGAAGTCCAAGACAACGTCCAGTAGCGTAGCATGACGTATGCGTGGAAGTCCAAGACAACGTCCAAAAGCGTAGCATGACGTATGCGTGGAAGTCCAAGACAACGTCCAGTAGTGTAGCATGACGTATGCGTGGAAGTCCAAGAGAACTTCCAGTAGTGTAGCATGACGTCTGCGTGGAAGGTCCAAGACGACTTCCAGTAGCGTATTATAGCATGACGTATGCGTGGAAGTCCAGCTTCCAGTAGCATAGCATGACGTATGCGTGGAGGTCCAAGACGACTTCCAGTAGCGTATAGCATGACGTATGCGTGGAAGTCCAAGAGAACGTCCAGTAGCATAGCATGACGTATGCGTGGAAGTCCAAGAGAACGTCCAGCAGGGTAGCATGACGTATGCGTGGAAGTCCAAGAGAACTTCCAGTAGCGTAGCATGACGTACGCGTGGAAGTCCAAGACAACGTCCAGTAGTGTAGCATGACGTATGCGTGGAAGTCCAAGAGAACTACCAGTAGCGTAGCATGACGTATGCGTGGAAGTCCAAGAGAACGTCCAGTAGCGTAGCATGACGTATATGCGTGGAAGTCCAAGAGAACTACCAGTAGCGTAGCATGACGTATGCGTGGAAGTCCAAGAGAACGTCCAGTAGCGTAGCATGACGTACGCGTGGAAGTCCAAGACAACGTCGAGTAGCGTAGCATGACGTATGCGTGGAAGCCCAAGACAACGTCGAGTAGCGTAGCATGACGTATGCGTGGAAGCCCAAGACAACGTCGAGTAGCGTAGCATGACGTCTGCGTAGAAGTCCAAGAGAACGTCCAGTAGCCTAGCATGACGTATGCGAGGAAATCCAGCTTCCAGTAGCATAGCATGACGTATGCGTGAAGGTCCAAGACGACTTCCAGTAGCGTATAGCATGACGTATGCGTGGAAGTCCAAGAGAACGTCCAGTAGCACGGCATGACGTATGCGTGGAAGTCCAAGACAACGTCCAGTAGCGTAGCATGACGTATGCGTGGAAGTCCAAGACAACGTCCAAAAGCGTAGCATGACGTATGCGTGGAAGTCCAAGACAACGTCCAGTAGCGTAGCATGACGTATGCATGGAAGGTCCAAGACGACGTTCAGTAGCGTAGCATGACGTATGCGTGGAAGTCCAAGAGAACGTCCAGTAGCATAGAAGTTAATTTCGTTTCAACTAGCTGCTAATTTCGACCAACTCGCTGTCAGAAGTTTGTCCTTCCAACCTGAAATCAAGTATGCAAAGTGAGTTCAAATTCTTGGAAGCACCTGACATTATGTCTGAAACAATAACTTTCAAACAAGATCATTTTCATTGCTGCAGCATCACAAAAATGTAGCAGCAGCGGAGCCATCCCAAATTGTGACCTAGCTCCAACGTTTTGAAGCAGCAGCAGGTGTGTACCACCGAATTTGAGCCTTATTAAACTATAATTTATATAACTTATTTAGAAATGGGTCAGCTATGGTAGTGGAGCAAAAAAAAACAATACTTTGTGGTTTGATCATAATGAGGGAAGTTCAAGGTGTGCCCAATATATACAAGAAACCAAGCTCCCCAAACATATGGTCATTAGTGGTTTGAATTTCCCACAAAAAGTTTGTTCATTTTGGGTGAGAACTTTCCCGACCCCTTCTTCGTCCATTCAAGAGAGGCCCGTGTGCTTTTTTAGGAGCTTCACTCAGACAATCCTCTGTCCACTATCGCTGGAAGGAAAGGGCATGGGCCCGACAAATTGCCAAAAACAAGGTGGCTGATCAGATTTGTTGAAAAACACCATTGGCCAGCCCAATTCTCTGTCTGCCACAATCTGCATGGCCGCTGCAAGTGAAACGAAAGTCCCTTTATTTCTGCACATCAGTATGCGTGTGTGCCTGTATGTGTGCTAGTGTTTGTGTGTGTGTGCACCTGTATGTGTGCTAGTGTGTATCTGAAGTCAGTCTGCATATGCCCTTACACTTTCAAACTTTCGAGGCTTTGGGGGCCGGGCTTCTGACCATTCTGGAGTGCCATTGAAACAATGGCCTGACAAACGGGCATGCCAGAGCTGCTCACTCACATTTGATACCTGGCGCCAGCCAAGCACCGGTTGCCAAAAAATGGATGGGATGCGATGCTATGTCAACATTCTTGGGCTGCGAGCGCTGCGACAAAACTTTTTTGAACACTCCCGGGAGGGCTGTTCAGAGTTCTTTGCAACTCGATCAGGCTAGCGAGGCCTCTATGGTATGGTACTGAGAAACCATGCTTTTCCAGCCTTTTTCCCCAAAGACTTAGCACGGCGGAACACTATATTCCCCAAAAATCAAGCTAGATTTGGGTTCCTTGCTCACCAGCAGCGAGCGCTGCACGCTCAGTGCTCTTCATCCAAAGCTCATGGGCCGTCTTGACATCATGGCCATCCTTCATGGCAGCACGGACCTGCAGCATGGGGTGGTACCCTTAAAGTATAAAAAAGATACCCGTTTTCAACCATTCCCAACCCTATTTTAAGGGTAACATCCTGAAAAGCTGGAAAAGAAATAATTGCATTTTCAAGGGTCAAAGGCCCAGCGAATCTCATGCTTGCTTTTCTTCTTCCCGGAAGATGCCGATGTGCTCTGCGACGCTTCTGCTTGGGAGGGCTTGGGCGCTGGCGGTGCTGGCTTCTTCTCAACCTGAGCAAGCGCCAAGGCAAAAAGCACACACAACAGGCATGTGCCCCGAAGCCCCATCAACTCGACAGCCATCAGGGGGACTGCAAAAATCAAACCATTGAGGGGAAACGATGGAAACAGGCAATGAATTAAACTGGATTGGGAAACCCCTTTCTTCTCAAACTTCGAGTGCCAAGAGTTGGAGTTGACTCGCTTGCGCTCCTTACGTTCCTCAAGGATGGCCGCCTTGCTGTTTGGCGATGTGTCGGCGGTGATCCTGACCCCAGCGTATTTCCACTGTGTGGACTTGCAGGGCTGATCCTTTCAGGGAGGAATTGTGGCATCGGATGCAAACAAGCAATTAATTTCAAAAAAAAATTGGGCCAGACCTAGCCTGGTCCGTGTCAACAGCTTCAGGCGGAACGACAACAGAAGGTGGCGCAGCAATGCGGGGACGCTTGGGCGCAGGCTCCACCGGCACGCCCAACATGTCATCCTTCGGTTCAACCTCCGATTCAGACTCCGGCCCATGGTTAGCAACAGCCTGATCATCGACGTTCGGTGCCTCAGTCAGCAAAACATGCACTTCAAGCAGCTGCAAAGAATAATCACAGCAAAAAGCAAAACTGTTAAAATGTAGCCAAGATTCCTCCATCGGAATCTCAGGCTCAAGATTGCAATATCCATCCATGGATAAGAGGGCAGCTGAAGGAGCTTCTTCGGAAGCTTCATTCTTCTCAGCAACAGCCTGCTCTGGGGTAAACAAAGCTTTGCTTGGAGCAGGGCTTCGGAAATCCCAGCCAGACTCGCTCCATGGCCGGGGTGAGCTCGGTGTGTCGAGCTGGGTCTCTTCTGGTGCTTTGTCACCTTCAGTCCAACCAAGACATTCAGCATCAAAGTTGAAAAAGATGTACTCCTGCTTCGCTTCCACGGGCTCATGCGTGCCATTCGACCCGGCACTGGGAAGGGACTGCAAGTCGCCACGCTGAGGTGTCGCCACCGTGCGGAGAACCTGCAAGAAGAAAACCAATGCGCCCAATCTATATCATGAATCTTTGAAAACTTTTCGGAAAAGAAAACAGCATAGCACCGGCTGAGGAACTTCAGTTTCAGGCTCCACCGGACGTGCGTGGCCGTACGACATGTACTGCTGCAAGCTGGGACTAACCTTGAACTCAAAGAACTGAGCGTTCTGCCTCTTCAACTGGTGCTGGGGTGGTTCAGGAGATCTGTCCACCGGAGCAGGACATGCTAGCTGGGCAGGCAAGCCACGGCTGGTCTCCGCACGCTCTGTCATGATTGCCAAGTGCTTGGCCACATGCTTTGCAACGAGACTACGCACAGCCGCATCGTCATCCATTTCAACATTGACGACGTCATGGCTCGACATGCTTCGACACGACAGCTAAAGAAAGTAACCGGAAAAACAGCCGGTGAGGGCACTTGGGAACAAATCGCAGCTTGCAAAAAAAATGGCAGCTGCTTAAGAAACACAGTCAATGACATTCTTATAAAGCACACAATTCCAAACTCAAAACTTGGCAGCTGCTGTTTTTTGCCGGAGAGCTGCCTGAACTCTGAACTCTGGTCTTTTCACAGCCTTCACACAATCTGATACACCTGGTTGGCTTCCATCACAAAGGAGTCCGTGATGTACCACAATGGCTTGGCAGGCCCAAGAACTTTCTCACGGACGAAGTGGCGCAATCCTGCAAACTTTTGATTATTGTCTTGTAAAGATGGAAGGGCAAGGAGCAACCCGCTGGTCAGGGGAAAAAAGAATCAAGCTAAGCCAAGCATCTCCAAACCAGAGTGACCCAAGCTGAGTTCGAAAGTGGCTTAAAGCCGACCAGTCCAGCCAAGTTTGTGTACTTCGCTTTGGCCACTTGGACTGGGTTTGGACGAAACACGGAATAAGATTCGTGGACGATGTCATACCTGCAATAATGTCCAGAACAAAACTTGCTGTGCATGCCGGTGATCACGCATGTTAAAACAACTAAAAAAAACATCAAAAAACAAGTTCAAGACCAAGCTGTGCCTGTCAGGCTCATCTCCCCGCAGCACGCCAGAAGGTCTGGATAATTTGTGCCCGGCAACTGTCAGGTCAAGGACCCCTTGACGCTCGAGGTCATTCATGAGCTTTTTGAAAGTCAATGGTGCAGAGTCGGTCGGAGCTCCACCCCCAGATGCGGTCGCTTCAAAAACCACCTAAGGTTCATTCCCTGCAGGCCGAAAAATGATAGGGATAGCGAAAATCATGAGGGCAAATTAAAACATTGACATTTTCAAACTAAACAATGGAAAATGTTTGTTGCTTGCAAGGTGGAATCCATCTGCGCTTCACTGTTGAGTCGAAATTCAACGGCCTTATTCTCATTTGCAGGCTTGCTCAAGAAATCCTTCGCCTGCCCGCCAATATGGGACGTGACCCAGCATGAACAATGAAATAAACATGTTTCAATAACTTCAACCCTGGTCCTTTGCGGAATCGCTCAACCAACTGCCCCCAGCATACAAGAAGGCTGGGCGAGCTTCTGGCGATGCCATGCCCGGAACTTGGAACTTGCTGGCGCATGTAATGAAGCACTTGTTCTCGACCAAGAAGCATGTCACCTGCTGCTGCAAGTTCAAAGTCACGGTTGCGGCGACCGTGGGGAATCTCTGCTTGAACTCTTCCAAAGTCATTGCGGGTGGCGCTGGGACAACCTCTGGTGCTCTTGTGGGAGCCACTTGACCAAGGTCAGCTTCCTCTGCTGTTGCCGTTGGTGCTGGCCGTGGCGCGTTGTTTGCATCTGACACTGGAGCAAAAACTGAATCGAAATTCTGCAAGCGGACCCGCCAGTCCGGATCTCGGCGAAATCCAACCCCCGAAAAATGGCAAAAAATAAAACAAGTTTTTCTTCTGGGACAATGAGGAGAACAAAAAAATATCCTGAATCAAGTTGCTGCGCAGCGGGTCCTGGAGCCAACGCTCCCGGATCTCGTTGGGAATCGAGAGGTGGCCGTTGACCATTGTGCAAATCTTCAGAGTTGGCAGCCTAGGCTCGCTGATAGTGCTCAGGTCGGCCGCTGGGCTGAACTTGGGCGTCATCTTTCCGACCAAGCCATGTGCACCTTTCCAATCCTGCAAGGTGGTACATAGTTGTGTTATAATGAAGATATTTGTGGAAGATATAGCTTTTATATGAACATATTAAATTACGACGGGTGGGCACCACTTTAACCACAGCTGAAGGATCTTATTCTCACAACGACGAAGAGGCTTTTTGCCAAACCCAAAGCCTCCAGCAGCTTGTCTTTGATCTGCGTCACAGCATATTGGAACACCGCAGGGTTGGTGGTCTCACTCAGCACTGCCAAATAGCACTGCTCTGAAAGATCTGTCATCATTTCATAGAGTACCTGCATGAAGCATGTATCCAGCTTCTAGAACATTGCTCAGCAAGTAATTGGTTTTATTTCGAGTGGTCCCCACCAGCTGGCATGATTTTCACCTAACATTCGATCCAGGAAATGTTCTTGCCTTTACTGGCATGTTTATCTGACATTGTGGCCGACACCTGAACTGACATGATACATTTTACGTAAGACATCTTCTGACATTCTACCTGTCATATATTTCAACCTCTATATCTGACATCGGTCCTTGCATTTTTTGATATGTATTCTGCCATTCTGGTTGACATATCTTCTGACAAAGGCTTGACATGTATCTGGCATATTTTGACATGCTCAACATCCTTTCTGATTTTTTGGAGCGACATTCTATCTGACATCTTGCTATTCTCACTTATTGCCATCTAACATTCCATTCGATATAGTTCCGTCAATCTATTTCGCATAGTTCTGTGGGAAGTTGTAGTCGTATGTATTTGTGACCTATATGCTGACAACCTGTCTGACAAATATGTTGTGTTCGGGTCCAGCAAGCCCAGGGAGCCTATGAGATCGCAAAAGTGTCTGCGCTAGGCGAGCTCCACAGCAAGCTTGCTGTAGCAGAGCGAGGCAGGGTAGGCGTGGAGGAGCAGAGGCGCAAGCTGGCATGAAATTAAATCTAGAGACTCTCACCTGCCAGGTGGGGAAAAATCCAAGGTACCTTCTCGAAAGCACCGTCGTACAAGGTCTTGTGGTGAATCAAGCAGCATTGGCTCTTGAGGGTTGACACTCGGCCCAGCAGCGATTCAATGATCGATTTGATCACGCCAGGAGCTGAGACCCACATCGCTGTTTCCTCCTTGTCCTCACACGCAGCACTGAAGAAAAATCAGCACAAAATCGGAAACTAAGAAAAATAAAGGCAAATGGGAGAAAACGTGGCACTGTCTCAAACCAAAATTAATCAACAAGGGTGAAGCCAAGCATCTGTCAGGGACCGCCCATGTTCATGGGAAAAGTAGGTTGACGACTCTGGGGTCACATAGTCACCTGACTGCCACTCAGTGGCACTACCTTAAAAAAAAAGCAAACTTGAGTGCGGCGAGTTGCTGATATTGAGAGGGGGCTGTGGCTTGCACGCCAGCAAGTTCCAGTAGTCGCTGCGTGTAAAGACATTGTCATCTTGTGTAGGCCGGTCCGAACCCCTCGGTGCTCGAAATAAGGTGCCCAGCTTTGCCCCCAAGGTGTTTTCCAAGCAAACCATGTAGGCCGGGATGGATTGCGGGAACGTCCTCCCACAGGTTAAGGATACAACAGTGTCTGACTGTTTGGTTTCAAAGAAAACAGTGAGTAGGATACTGTCCTGTTTCCATGAATGGCTTCAAGAGAAAATTTGATCTGGACCATCTTCATTTCCATGTGCTGGCTGCTCAGCTTGTCTTCCAATCGCCTGGTTGTTTCTTTCCAGCACAGTGCCATGCAGCGCACATTTCATATAGAGGAGGTTCAAATCGAGTTTGAAAACTAAAAAATTAAACTAAATCACAAGTCAGTATTCATGGAAGAAACGAAGCACAGGCAAGGCTCCGCTGCTCACCACGAAGCCCAAAGAGCACACCCTCTCCCGCCAACAGCGGGCAGACAATGAAGACAACACCTCGAAGCTGGCTGAAGATTTGGTAGCGGGGCGGAAACAAAAAAGAAACCGGAGCGACTGAAAGCACTTTGATTAATGCCGGAAATTAAAAAAACACATAATTGGAGCTGGGTTGCTGTAGTTGGGGTTCAAGGACAACACCTTGTAGCACCACTCAGACACCTCTGCAATGTCTGGGGCTGTGAGGCGACCCAACTTCGGAAGATCAACGTACCCTATGTTATGCATGCGCTCCAGGTCTGCGTCGAACCCTTTCGCTTTGGCATCCGACAGCACCCGACGCTGCATGGTGGCAACGTTTTGACCAAGCTGCGAGCCAGAGACCGCCAACAATCTCTTCTGCATGAACGCTTCAGCCACGCCAAGGCCCACGTCGATCTGGTTCTTCATGTGCAGCACCTGGTCACTTGAAGTGTGGTGTGGATACACCATATTCAACTTGTTCTTTCACTCCAGGTTGAGGAAACAACGCCAAACACAAGATATAAATCCGAGACGCCTGGGCAACATGCGCGTTGGAATCCATTTTGTTCCTCTTCAGGTTGTAGGCGACTGCTTCTCGGTAGTCATGACTGAGGCTGCAAATGTCGACTTGGTATTTTGCACCTGCGAGTTTCTCCTGAAGCGGAATCATTAAATTTTAAAAGATACCAAAATAATGCTTTAGGCAAATGATTGAACAAGCCTTGCCACCCATGTTTTTGAAACTAATGTCCTCAGCTTCAACATCAACACTCTCTTCTTTCGAGCTGGCCCCTCCAACATCTCCTTGGGCGATGGCCCTGCCCACGTGGTCTTGCCAAACTGCTGTCATCTCAGCCTTGATGGCCTGTGGCTTTGCCAACAGCAATGCCTCCAAATCTTGAGAGTAGTCCCTGGGATGAGCCAAGTCCAGAGTTTTCCCATGAGATGCAAAAAATTGGGAACAAAGAGAAAAACGACAGCAAGAAGCTTAAGGAATAGAGGAAAATCTTGATGATTCTTCATTGATGTGCCCATTGGTGAATGCCTCCGTCATCTTTGCCAGCATTTGGTCGCTTACCTGGGCTATTGAAAATAAAGTCCCTAGAAGCAGGCCCAGGGGAATGTTTTAAAATGTGTGTGGTGGAAGCAAGCCTCCAAGTAAGTAATGGTCAAAAACTGAGCTAGGAACCCCTGCTTGCTTTGCACTTTCTTCATAGACCCACATGAACAGGCAGCACTGGTCGACGTGCCTTCCCCAATATTCTTCACCCCAGCGCAGCCTGGCCCTGGCGGACCGTTTCACACGCCGAGCATTGAGGGACCACCACAAATTGTATTTGCGAAAATGAATCTGCTGACTCTTCTCGGTCACCTTTGCTAGTCTGCCAAGGTTGGCCACTAAAAAGTTAAAGAAAGATTCGTTAAGGTAAAATATTGCCAATATATGGGAAAGGAGCTGTGAGGATCTTGGTCCAAACTGGTGTCAGGCCCTTGGGTGACTCGTGGAGCTGGTGTCGCTTGGACTTCAGGATCGCTTCATTGTATCCTGGAAAAATTAAGGGAATGTCAGAAAAACTGATAACATTTGAGGAATTCAAGATGGTTTTACTTCAAGTGATCCCCGCCCCAACATAGTGTTTTGACATTCTTTCTGACAGTCTATCCGGCATGCTAGTTGACATATACTCTGACATGTCTTCTGGCATTCTATCTGGCATTCTATTTGATTTTTTATCTGGCATTTTATCTGACATATTTTGACTTTCTATCTGGCATTCTATCAGACAGTTTATCTGGCAGTATATCCGGCATCTCTTCTGACATTCTTTCTCACATTCTTTCAGGCATTCTTGTACTCTGTCTGCAATGTGTTCGGGTCCACATGCCTTCTGGGCTGGCAATATGGAGTTCGGGTCCAGGCACACTCCACGACTCTTGTGGCGATGTGGCACATTCCACAGCATCCGGAGCTGGTGATAAGATGTTGGGGTCCAGGCGAAAAGCAGGAAGCAAGGGCAAGGGAAGGGAGCGAGGGAGTGAGTGAGAGGCGTAACACCCTTAGTTAAAATTCCAGAGACCCAGGTGGGGAACTATTTCCATAGTGCCAGCAAGGTACCGCTCTCTTCCCATTTGTTGTGATCTAGGTGGGCACGGATCAGGCTCCGGGAGAGCGGCGTCATTCCGAGGATGATACCTTCGATGCTCCTCCGCATATCATCGCTAATCTGCCACTTTTTGATGGCCACGTTTGACCTGAAGTTGTTGTACCGGTCGACGAGCTGCGCAAGCAGATCGCTGTCTGTCAAATCTGCTGCGGTCTCATTGAAGCGATGCTCAGCCATCAGCTTTTCGAAACGCAGGCTCATTTGCAAGGCCTCGTTGGCTATAAGATGTCGGACCCTGAATGCAACATGGGAGCGAGCTGGGACAACAAAGAGCCAAGTGTTTTGCAGGCAAGATGCATTTTTTCTCTGCCGCTCGGAACCTTGGGTGCTTAGCTGCATCGCTTCAAAGCTGCTCTCTTCACGTGCTTGCCCGATAGAGATGCAACAGGGAAGGTTCCACATGTCTTTGATTGCAGGTAGCAACGGCGAAATCAAATCCTGGAAGACCAGCCGATTTGGTTTCAAATGTTTCAAAACTTCATGGTGATAGGGTGGTTTTGGGACCGTGGGAGCAGGGAAAAAGGCTAGGGCAACCAAGGTAAATCAACATATATCTTGCGTAGGAGACAGTCCTTACCAGCCACAGGGTCGATGTCAGAGGCCAAAAGAAGCCAAAACAGACCAGCTGTCCTCAACACTGCAAAGCTGCCTTGAAAAAACAGACAGTGGTAGGCACCCTTCTTGCAGAAGAAAAGATAAAAACGCGTAAAACGATATTAACTATTGACACTCAACAAGCGGCAGCCGCGTGAAGCCCTTCTTCACAGAGAGCATTGGCTTGTAGCCATTCTCTTCAGTATCATTGGACTGGGGAGCAAAATTCACATCCAAAGGCTCTCTGTCGAGCCGTGAGCCAGTGAACAGGAAAGACACAACGCAAGTCAAAAAGTCTTCCAGTATCGGCAAGCCATCATCTGGAGCCTTCAAAATGATGGCATCCAATGGGACACGTGCTGTCAAAGTTGAACCAGGAGCCAGCGTAGCCAGTTCCTGGTTCGAGAATGAGACTGCATGCCCGCCCCACTTGATTTTATTTTTGGTGGGTGGTTTGCCGAGGTAAATGCAACTGATGCATGTGGATTTGGAACTTGCCAAGGTGCTGGCGACAAAATTGCCCACGGGAACTCTTTGCCCTGTACCTGGAAGGCATCGGCCAAAAAAGTCTGGAGCTTGTTGCAAGTGTGCGCAGCAGCATCATCATCCTTGAAAGCCGCCATCACTGTGTCTAGCGGGTGGACTGGAGGTGCTTCGTCAGCAGCTTTCATCTGGGTGGGGTCAGTGAACATTGCCAAGTAGTTCAATACCTCCTGGCCAAAAAATGAGGCGTGTTTTAAAATTGGACCAGCAGGCAGCCACCCCGCTTTTTTGGGGCGGGCATGAAAAAGGAGTCCTTCGTGAAGCTGACATCCCCTGGGAGATTCCTGCAACCAGACATCCACTCACTCTTCCGTTTCTTGGCTGTCTGATCAACTGGCTCAACTTTGACCTCAAGATTTGTGAAAGATATGTGAAAGGTACAGCCCTGTTCTGTTTATTTCCCAAAATAAATCTGAAAAGAAAAAGCATTTACCGGTCTTTCAACCTAAAGGCTGGGCTGGGCTCACTCTTTGAAGCACGGCTGTCTTCAGCAGCCGACTCTGTCTTCACTGGAGAGCTTTCGGGCTTAACTCGAAGCGCTGCAGCAGCAGCTGCAACGCCACTGCGCAAGAGAGGGCACTCCATGATGATGATTTTATCATCAGCAGCTCTGAGCAAAAGAATCCGCTGGATGTCCAGACAGCTGGAGCGTTATGCTTTGAAACCTTCACCGCTAAATTTTGGCGTGGTTGATGTGGCTTCAACATAAAATCGGCGTGGTTGGCGTCTAATTATCCCAAAATCGGCGTGGCTGGTGTCATGTGTGCAAAGCAGTCAGCGTTGTTCTGCCCCCCAGCAACACTGAAATTTCATGATCCTACCCACAAAGAAAGAGTTGGCCGTAAGTAGGAATCAAATTCGGCGTTGTTGAGCTGCCCAGCAACAATGAAAACATAGGACGTCGACAGGTGGACCCTGATTTTCAAGTTTTCCAAAAAATGAAAAGTCTCTGGCACCCCCCCTACGGCCTATGTTTTCTTTGTAGGCTGCCCCCCTGGCAACAACGAAAAAGTTGACGTTATCTAGTCATCAAAGTCGGCGTGGGTGGTATCCGTCTTTTTGCCAAGCAGAACCCTGAGAAAACACAGCCAGCCACACCACACTGCTCAATAGCTCAGCTCTCAGCAAAGCCTCAGCCGGCCGAACACATGTGACAGCTGTCTTGGTGCAAAAGGCACTGTGTCCAAAAATTGGCAAAAGGAAAAGCACACACCAACTTTCAGCTACAGCTTTTCCGTGCAGCTTTAGCATTGTCAAGTAGTAGGAATCAGCTAGTTTTGGCTATTGGAATCACCTCCTCCGACGCCACACAACTCGCAATGGCACGGAAGGGCAGAGAACAGCTAGGACACACTCATGTGGCTCATTCTGGGCAACAGGCATCACCTCCACATCCGGCGGAGAGGCATGCCAAGGAAGTGGAGCAAGTGCTTCCCGAGGCAGGCTGTCAGTTGCAAGCTGCGTGAGGTAAAGATGTGCTCTTTGACCATCCTCTGTTCCACCTAATAGCTTGGAAAAAACATCAGCAAGGTTCAGCCATGTTGTCTTTGTAGCTGGCGGGACTGGGCGCAAAGGCATTATTCCTGCATCAAGTGAAAGAAGTCTGTGCTCATGAGAAGACACTTCGGGGCTACAAAAGAATGAATTTGAAAGGTGCCAAAGCAAGTAGTTCAGCATCCTTCAGCAACCAAAGGCCAGCGAGGCGCATCTTCTGCAACTGCACAAAGCAAAGGCTTCTGACGAAGGTGAACAGAGCTGATGTATTCCTTCACGAGGATGAACACGTCATCTTCATGCTTGGGGCGTCGGTGGTTTGTACCTTCATCTGTCTCCAGGTCCGGAAGGTCTCGGCAGGGACAGCGATTTGGTGAAGCAAAAAAACAACCCTTCGAGACCGCCAAGGCTATTTCCTTTTCAAAACACCAAGCCTCGTCTTCGGCAAAAGAAAAAGAAGTGGTTGGCAGTGACATCTAGTTTCAAGCCACCTTCCTGACACGACAGCTCGAAGCTCAGTCTTCGTATATTCTTGAAAATTTAGAGTATACACGGAATGCAAACCAAGCCTGAAATTTTATAGGCGAGTCAGCAGAATAAACGGAATAAACATTGTTAGCTTCAACGGGAAAATTTGCGCTAAGAATGACCAAGCCAGAATCAAACTCCACAGGGGCATGTTGTGCGATGTGCCCCTTCCAGTCTCTGCATGTTCGAAGGGTGTGCACAAAGATCTCACCATTCACCCACTTGCGAACCGAAGGTTTCGCAAGTTCAGCATTCAAGATGGACACGGCGCTCTCGGTGTCGACTAGGTGAGGGTCACGGCCAAGTTGTCTGCTTAAGAGCCCCCACAATTGATCTCAGGTAGCAGCTGGGTGCAGATTGGTAGAAGCCATATCAATTGGAGAGAGAAGGCACTAATCTGAAATCAAAATTTTCATTGTTTGGACATGACCTGCGTCTAAATCACCAAACCAATTTTCGCAGAACATGTTGCCAGAACATGCCATAGATCTACATGCAAAGGTGGACACGCCTGCAAGCGTCCAACATACCAACATGTGCCACACAGTCTGACAAGTGAAAGACAAACTTTTGCTGCGCACATCCCCAAACAAGCAGCTGTGCAACAAGAGCTTGGTTGGTGTGGATGGGCGCACTTACAGGCTTCAAGCCAGCCTGCCTTAAAGAATTGAAATTTGAAGATGAAAGTGGGACAAACCTAGCCCATCAAGGTATAGCAAGTTGCTTTCTCAAAGACGCATGCCCTGGCAACCTTCAGTTTTAACAGAAGTGGGCAAAACTTGCACGAGAAAGAAAATTACCTTTTCTCATTCCAACCGCATTCAAAAAGGCAGTGTCGCCTAAAATCCTTTGCCATTGTAGGAACAGACAAGGCTCCTACCACGTCATGTGTGTGGGCGACTCTCATCATCATGGCACAGGCATACCTGAAGTCTCCGTCTCAAGCCAAAGTGTTTTCCTGAAAACGAAAACAATGTCCCTGTGGTTAAGTGTAAACAAAAACGAAATTCAAATGCAGCGCAAACACTTCAGTCGTTTGTGAAGTATCAGACTCAGAAGATATCGGAGGCAAAAACCATTTTTCAACTCTTTGACGGTATTGTCGCCGATCACTGCCAAGGTGTCTGGCTTTGCGCCCCTGGACCCAGCAATTCTCATTGAATCTTCTATAGTCATAGCAAGAGCTTGGATTACCATGCTGCTCCCATGGAAAGTCGTTTCATCCAGCACGCAAATGCGAAGAGCGTGGGCAAAACTCCATACTGCGTGAAGTTTTAACCTCGGGCGCACCAGCTTCTGAGCACGGTGTGCATGAACAAGGCCAGGCGAACGTGGGATGGCATACTTTGCCTGAACGTCTGAAGTGTGAAAGAAATTGCAGTGAACAGGTGTTGAAAAACAAATCAAAATGGTGAAGATATCTTCTACCCAAAAGGAGCCTGGTCTGCACCGTCTGTGGCCAGCACCAGGATGCGTGACAGTTGGTCCGCTGCCACGTCTTTCAAGCTCCAAAAAGAGCATCTGTCGGCGTATTGTGAAACCAGATGAGTCCGATACAATTTAAGTGCTTGAAGGCGATCTCCCATACACAAATTCCGGTTCTGATACCTTCCGTGGGCACACGCCTGCTTACACTTCTGGGTTCAGGACTACACGTACCACATTGAAAAAAAAGATTGCACGCGGCCGAGTGGCTGAGATTTCAATTCTTGACAAATATCACATTGAGCAAATTCTGATTGGGAACGAAACTTCAGCACCAATGTCCACTTTCTGTTCCAATACTTGAGGAAAGTCCCATACCTCAGGCGACGCATTCAAAGATTGCAGGTTGCGACAATGTGGCTCCAAGCAGTCTTTGATCTGGGGCAGGATGAAGAAAGAAAAAAAGGTATACCCACCAAATGCTAGGAACGAGGCTTGCTCCTCCACCTCATGAGCACTGCACCACCCACAGTAGAATTGGTATAAGTCAAAGATTGTGCCAGGGGGAAGGTGTTTTCTCACCAATCTGGAAATGTCCTTAGATGCAAAACTTCTTGGCTCTCACTTTGAACTGAGATGGACGGGCTACAGTGACAATCGCTCTGGATCAACAAGTGGATGTTGCACCGGGGTGCTGCAAGAGAAAAAATGCTTGGCATTGAGATGAGCAACTGAAAAGCCGCCAGTACTGCACATTTGAACCAGGAAATTCACATTGGTTCTCAAGTATTCTTTCAAGTCTTCATCATTGTTATCATCGAAGTCACTATGGTAGGTGACGCCTCCTTCACCCCAATGGTCAGTGTCGCTCCCTTTGCCTTTTCGTTTGGCTGGGCCGACCCGCACCAACCTTAGTGTGAGCTCAAAGAAGAACAAGTTAGCGGGCCGTGCATGTCTGAGGACAATTATAATTTTATGTTTCCAGGGGGGCAAATTGCAATCAGAATTTTACTTCGAGAGACCCCACGAACTGGCAGTTCATCTAACATTTGATCTGATAAATTATCTGGCATTCTATCTAATGTTAATTCCGAATTCCGACAGATTCTGATGCTCTATTTGACAACTATTCTGACATATAGTCTGACATAAACTGACATGCTCTCTGGCAAAGAACCTGGCAATCCATCTGACATAGACTCTGACATGTCATGTGCCATTATCTGACATTACCAGACATGCTTTCTGGCAGAATTGTGGCTTTCTATGTGCCTTCTCTTCTGCCATTATATCGAACATTATTATTTGGCAAGTCTCTGACGTAGTATATTTTGAATTCTGTTTCACATGTGTTCTGACATTCTATCTGGCATTTCTTTTGACATATTATATGACACTTGATCTAACATAAATACCTTCTGAGAATTTATCTGGCACTCTTTCTGACGTATATCTTGACCTTGTATCTGACATTCTACTTGACACTGAAGTTGGACGTTGAATTTGAAACATGTATTCTAGCATCCTTCTTTGCAAGTAATCCTACCACACATTCATAATTTCTAATACTGCATATATCTGACAGAGATTCGTGTTCGGGACCAGCGAGCCCCACAGAGCATAGTCAATTTCACAATGCTCGTGTCCAACGAATTCTGTAAGGAGCAGAGGCGCAGAGGAGGCGTGGAGATACAACGAAGGAACGGAGGAGAAGAGGAGAAGGTTGAATCTAGAGACCCTGACCTTGCAGGTGGTGCCAAAAACAAACTGAAACGACTGCCAGTGGCTTGGTGGGCAATGGCTCTGCAATGCTGTTGTACAGCAGCATACAGAAAGAGTCCACGGACGCCATCAAGGGAGTTGGTTTGGAAGTTCGTTTCCCAAAGCGAAGGTCTATGGCGCCCAGCTTGTCAATCCGATGAGAGGATACTCCCAGAAGAGTTTCAAAGCACGCTCGTCTCATTGGGCGTGACAAGAAGCTGTATTCCTTCCGGCCCCTCCCCATGTGCTCGCCATCTGCAGCCAAATACAAGATGGAATCTTGTTCGAGTTTGGTGCGGGCTTCGAATTGGTGCAAAAATTCCAATACCTCATCAGATTTGAACTGTTTCCAGCAACCCTTGTCTGCGCACTTGCAGTTGGTGGAGACAAGTGATGCGATGCGTGCCTCAGCGTGGAAAAAGAAATGCCCACAGCATCAACATTCTAAATTCTTCTGTTGGTATGCCCAGGGTGGAAAGCAAAGGCGATCTTACCAAACAGAAATGCCAGAGAAGGTGCTGAGTCATTCCTTGGTACTCGTGTTTGTCTTTTGCTAGGTGCTTTTTTCTGCTTAGCTTCTGCTTCAGCTCTTCTCTTCGAGTTGTCGTAGCATCTTTTTTTCTTTGGTTTTTCTACCGGATCTGGGCCATTGCTTCTGCAAAGCTGCGTGGCCACAAACTGCGAAACTGTGGAAAATGACAGAGAAACTAATCCCCTTGTAGATGCGGCATCCGGGCCCAGCTCATCATCCGCGAGGCATGCAGAGTCACCAGAATCTGAGATCTCGGCGGGTTCATCTCTGAAACATGCACTGGGGAAAGCAGAGGACGCCTTGCTGATGTCTTCATCAGGTTCGTCTTTGAAAAGTGCTGAAGTGAGACATTCAGCCTCTTCAGGTTCATCTTGGAAAACTTGAGGTATCTCGCCGGATGGGTCAGGTTCATCATTTTCATCATGAAATGGACTGACTTCGTCAGGTTCGTCTTGAAAAAGGTGGTGAGACATTGCTACCACACATAGCCAAGCGAGCGGGAGCTTCATTGAGTCATCCCTTGAGATATGATCAAAGCCGGGATTGGAATGAAAATGACTGAAACCCATGCTGAATTTCTGAACCATTGATTTCTCACGGAGAGGTGCTATAGATGCTAGCCTTCGGTTGGATTCAAATGTATTGTTCTGTGAGGAAACCGATTTTCCTTGCATCTGGTAGTGGCTGCAGAAAAATGTCCGGTTTCAAATTGCCATTTGACACAAAAAAACTGCACCCCGAGGCTGCCAAGTGCAGACTGACATTGGGACCCTGGCAGGAGCAGACCAACTCAAGTTCCTGGCGAAGACTGGAGACCGGAAAGAGGAAAAAGGTATATACGGTTTTGAGATAAAGGCTCCACGTTGCACATCGGACTGAGTGAAAGCACGCCTTGTGATGACTTGCGTTTCAGACACACCATGGCCTGGCAATTTTGGTCAATTTCTGGCATGTCAGACTGTCATGTGCTTCGTGGAGATTGCTCATGTGACCCGCACCGTCAGCAAGACAAAGCCAACGGAGGGGACGTCCATGCCATTGCCGGCCAGTTGGACCTGCAGGGGCAAGTTCTACAGCAAAAACTTGTGGGAAAGCCTTCGTCAAAAATCATGGGGCTGTATGCGTAAACAAGTTTGAGATCAAACAGTTGCCTTCGCGCTCACGGACAAGTCGCTCAAGTCTGGCGGCTGCGTTGCGCAACTTTCCGCATGCTTTCGAGTTGCAGGCATGCCCATGGCGCAGAGCATCTCCTCAGGGAACAGTTGGCGCTTGTGCTTCCGGCTCCACCTGGGCCCCAGGTGGTGGGCTCTCTTTTTGGGCATCTGCAAGTTTTCGACCGAGTGAGCGAACCACGGGCCAACTATTTAGTGAGTATTGACTAAAAACAGATCATGCTGCAGCCATGATACAGGAGCCCAGAGTTTGTTGTAAAGGTGGACAAGCTCTGGTCTGCTGCTCGCCCTCGCTTTGCTCCAGGGTTTTGCGACAAATCCTGATACTTGGATTGCTGGAAAACAAAAAAGCTTGAACTCTGTTTGGGGAGGCTGACGATCAGACAGAGCTTAAAAGGAAACACATGCATCGTCATTACATACGAGAATCGAAAACCAGAGCTTCCGGGTGCAACTGCTCATAGCTGTCTTTGAACTTCTGTGCTGATTCCGGGGGCTGCAAGTCAAAGAGGTCAGACTGGCCGCACAAGTTTACCTGATGATATCAACCCCTCACATAGAAGGCGGGATCGAAACATAATTCTATTGCCTCACACTGGCCTGAAAAATGATTCTGAAACTGGATCGAGCAAGTGCCCATTGCAGGCAAAGGTGCCAAGTCAGTCTTCGTCAAAAAGTACATGTCGTCTGCATTCAATTTCAACTCTTGCAAGGGACACGTCAGCTTCAGGATGTGGCGAAGGCTTGGTCCATGCCATTCAAACTTGGACCGATCATAGAACAGGTTGAACTGCCGCAATCTGGGCAAGGTTACTATGGTCCAAGAAGCTTCATCTTCAAAAACACCAAAGAAAAGAAAGAACAAATTTTCCCCCACAAACCTGCCTCGACATAGGCTTTCCGAAGCGCTGCGGCGATATGACTGTCTGCTGACTGTCATATTCCGCCGCAAACTCATCTCTGACCCATTGCCCCGGAAAGTTCAGGACATTCTCATGAATGAACCATGCCAACCTGTCCAGCCACAGACATAGGGGTCTAATAGGAAGTTGATGGATATTTTGGGAATGGTTTTCGTCAGCTATAAGGGAATAATTATAATATATAGGATATGGTTGGATATGGTGGGAAATAGTTGGAGATAATGGGAAGGGATGGAACAAAGTTTGAATATAGTAGGAGATGTTTCTCTAAGTATGATGCTGGGACAAAGCATGTTTTGAAAACAAATCAACATTGTGCCAATAAAGATCAAAAAACTTCTGCTCCTTCTTGTCAGCAACCCAAACATCGTGCACCTTGCGCTTCTCAGGGTTTGAAAGCCCCTCCTTCTTCCCCATCCTGATTCTGTAGATGTTTGGTGCCAGGCTCTGAAATTAAAAAGCAAAAAAGGGGAGAGAAGCAATAGCAAGACCAAAACTGCCCTGAAATCAAAGTGAAGGGTCTGAGAGAACAAGATGCATGGTGGCCCGTCGCAGCCTGTGTTGTCACGATCATCCTTGGGCGGGTTGCGCGGGCAGTGTCCGGCATGTGTCCGGCAATAAGCTGTGTTGACCTGACTTGCTGAAACCATTTTCTCAATAAAACATTCACTGAGCCCCACCAAACTTTTCCAGGGTGGGAAACAAACAAATCAACATCATTGCCCAGTTGCCATCTTCATCTCATGGTGGGACTTCTTCCTCACATCCTTCACAAATGCCGTGAAATCGTTGAAGACGCATCGGCCAGGAAAATTTGCAGCCAGAAACCTGATTTGATAGAGCATCCAGCATCCCACAAAAACAGTCCAGGTCCCCAGAAAAAACCCGAGCTTCCATAAATTAACAAAAAGGCGTGGAAGAATTCGCTGAGAAACTTCCTGGACGGCGTAGAAATGTCACAAGCCCTGCCGGTCACGTAGTCCAGGTTGATGGAATACCTTGGT